TGTGTGTGTGTGTCGTGGCTGGGCGTTGGGCTGCTCCGGGCCACATCAGCTCAAGCTCCACTGGCTCTGTTTGTGTGCGTACATGTGTTTGTGTTTTCGAGTGTGCCACTCTGTCTCATTCTGTCTCTTTTTGTGTGTTCATTAGTGTGTGTGTGTGTGTGTGTGTATCTATGTTTGAGTGTGTATGTGTGCATGCATAAGTCCACCTCTTTCTGTTTGCACGCTCTGCAGTGGCCCATGAGAACGCCTCATACAATATTCAGCTTGGTGAGCCTCTTGGTTGTGTCAGCTTCTGTGTGTGTGTGTGTTTGTGTGTGTGTGTGTGTCCTACATGGGAGCTTCCTTCCTATACCGGCCTTTATACTGCCCGCCACCCATTCTCTTCATAAGCCAGGAGGCATTAAGCAACATTCGCCAGCATTTGTCCTCAACTGTCCCCTTCCACAGATGTACTGCATTAAACACCACCTTGTTGGGCAGGTATCAGTGTCGTTTGCCCCTGACATTTTCCATGAATTCTTGCTATTTCACATTACCAGTAGAGTAGCATGAATCATTTCAGTATTAAAAATAAAAACCCTCAGAACCTTTTTCAGAATACGTTATATAGTGTACTGCTAATAGCTGCACAAAATAGCAATTAAGTAAAACTGCAGCTTATTTAAATGTGTCTTTGTCACTTTTTGTATGGGAAACCTAAATCTCCAAGGTAATGAGTAAATACAACCATTGCATAAACGTAGTGGAGGGAAATGTGTAATATTTAGCTCCAAAACAGGTTGTTGAAAAGCAGAACCATTGACAGCTGTTAAGGAGCTGATATTCTGCATTAGCTGGAAATTGGAAAACATTTGGCTGACAAAACATTTGAAAAAAAAAAAAAGATGATGCAACACAGTGGTAAACATGCCCCTGGTCCTACGTTTTTAAAGCATTTTTGCTGGCATAAAATTCAAAATGAACATCACTGACAATAGAGTTTCTCAGTTTAGTTTAGTTTTTACTTTTTTAAATCACTTACAGGCTTTTAATCATTTGCAAATCATTGAATTTTGTTTCACACAGTGTAATCACCTTTTTGGAAGCAGAGTTATTGTAAACATTTGTCCGTAGGGAACAGTGTATTTGTTGGGGACTTGTTGGCAGATAAATACACGCTGGGTGCTCAAGTTAGGAATGTCTAAGTAGAATTTGGTCAAAAGAAAGTACTCAACAGTGTCTGTGTTTGTGGCAATGAAAGGAAAAGTTCCCCAGTACAAATGTGTGGTTTGCTGAAAGTTTTTGGATAAACAATGGAGCTTTGTGACACAGCGAAATAAGATAGATCTGGCTTTGGATGCCCTCAAAGTACTTGTTACTAGAATGAATATAGTGTTGGTTGTTGACTGTAACAAAAATAAAGAAGATCATCACATGTATCCTTTTAATAACTCAGTTTTGACTAAGATTTCATTAGATATTTTCTTGGCAAGTTATAAGGGAGAAGAGCCCAATGTCTTTACTTCTCTGAAGGGCTCTTACTGTGAAACACTAGCAGGAATTATTTAGTTTTATTAAATAATTGCTGTAAAGAAATGCAGAAAATTTGCAAAGTAAAAATGACCTAAATCTGTTAACATGTTCTTGTCCAAAAGAGAACCGCCGTTTAAACAGCTTGAACAGACTTGTGAATATTGTAAAATACTTTCTATCTCCATGTGTAATAAATGATAATTATCATTTTGTACATTTAAATGCCGCAACTGTGACTGGACGTGCGTTACAGAAATGCTAGACATAGAGGG